GACCCCTGAGTCACTGTCACCACCACCAGATGGACTTTAGACTTCTCAGCCTCAGAAAGTGTAAGCAATAAATGTTTTTCTTTATAAATCACCCAGTTGCAGGTATTTTGTTATAGGCAACAAAAATGGACTAATACACTTTTTCAGGAATCTTTTAATATTGAATTATAATTAATTTAAATTTAATTATACTTTACCTTTACTGTCTTTGATATATTACTGTCGCAAGGCTGGATATAACACAGTCTTTTCTCTTTTCTCATTTCACAATTGCTGTTTTCATTTGTTACCCTACTAGATATTCCCATCCCACAAGTTCTGGAGCAGGGAGTCCACTTTGTTGCTTGCACAAGACATTTTCTTTTCCAAATAAGTGGGAGATTCCTATAAGCTAAAATAAAGGGGGGAAAGTACATATGTATACATATATATGTACTAGTGTAGATATATAATTTTTAATCACTTTTAAGCTAGTATTTAAGCAGTCTCAGTCTTTGTTTTTGTATAATGTGACTCAATAAAAGAAGCTTATGGTCTAATTCATCTTTCTGTCTCCCTTTTTCCCACTCCCCAAATTACCTTTCAATCAAATGTTACAGTCCAATTTCTTAGGAGTAAAAATGCTTTATCCTTGAAAAACTAGATTTACCCATTTGTATCTTTCTGTTTAGTCCATCTCTGAGTACTAAACCTAAGCTTATATCCCAATTGATACGTCTTTTCCTGGTTCTTGCCTCATACTTGATATTATTTCCAATAGACAGTGAAATAAACAGTAGGATTAGGGAATTTGAGATATTAATCAGAACAGTGTGTTCTTAGTGCTAAATTTCACAATGTTAAAATCTAAAATAGAAAAATTATTAGACTATCAGACCAGTTTTTCTCCACTTGTTTTAATCTAGTTTTTTAGAAAATTCTCCAATGGATTGAAGTAATATTACACTGAACTAAACTAATTATCATTGCAAATGTGTGATCTCTTTCATTCAGCTAAATTGTTGCATTCTCTATGTTATCAGGCCCATGATACTCTTCATTGGCTAGCCATTTCAAATCACTTTTGGCAAGACAGGGAATGAATGGATGGATGGCTCTATGGATAGGTCAGTGAGTGGATGAATAGATAGATCCCCTCCCACCATATGCTGCCTAGGAGAAATGGGAGGGGAAGAGTAAATAATGAGAATATAAGAGAGCAAAATAATTTTTCCATCTCCATGTAAGTCCATTGGGAGCTTCTTGTTATACTCATCAATGAATCAGACCCTTGATTCATTTTAAGCAAACTGCATATTGGTTTATTGTCTCAAGGCATTTCCTTAAGTTTTAATGTGCATCTTAAAATGGATACTTTGGGAGTAAAGTTGTAATTTGAGTCTGCAGTTAAACAAAATTCTGGCTATATTACTACAAAATATCAACTTAAAACTCTAAAAAGACCCAGAAAATGCGTTTTTGATAGTTACTTTGAAGTATGTGCTATCTTTGAATAAAATGATAGCGTGATACAGCTGTCAGTGTTACTACAGTAGGATCTTGCAATTGCACATGGAACTGAGGGAGAGGAAGCAGAAACATGAAGATACCTGGAAGGTAGACAACAGTTTAAAAGACCCCAGTGCAGGGAGCAATTAGAAGCCTGACACGCATCTGCAATAAATAAAAGCAGGTTAGATTATCGTATTACCATCTGCAGTAAATAAAGGCAGGTTAGATTACTGCATTATCAAGTAACCTCACTTAAACCAAGAGCTGCAGTTCAAGAATTTGTTTAACGTTCATTAAAAAGCAAGAAAACTCGAAGAGATTTTTAAAGTAAAAGCTTAGTGTTTGGTGAGCATTGAGAAAAGCATGAGGGCTTTATGTCATTGCATGCTTCTTACCAAGCAAAAGCTAGATTCCAACCATAGGCTATATAAATTACTA